TCAAGTAGCAGGTAGGCCGGCACCGCACCCAGTAGCAGTAGATGTGCCAGGTACTCGAGGCCGAGCAGAAGAAGACAAAGTTGGCATTTTTAGAGGCCCAGTAGCGGTAGGCTAGGTCTAGGCCGGTACCAGTCCATCCAGTCTGAGTCTAGAGCCTGTACCCGCAATATCAGAGTCTGCAATGATGTTTCCCTCTGAAAGGGAGGAGGTACCAGTTGCTTGGGAGGCCGAGCGGCCTGGAAGTCACCGCCCAGGAGGCCAGCAGGCCTCTATATCAAGAGGCCGAGGGAAAAGCTCGGCCTCATTCTTCAGTGTGCGAGTTGGGCGTCACGCTGCTGGAGCGCTGGTTGTAAGAGTGCTGGTTGCTACAGCGTTGCTGGGAGGAAGAAGCCGGGAGCTTCCACCTCGGCTATGGTGGAGCTCGGCCTGTAGGAGGAGGAGGGAGAAAGGGACCAAGGGGGAGAATGGCGAGGTACCTACCTGGCTATGGTGGACACCATCTTCATCACCTTGTTAGGCGCTGCATCTGGAAGGCCCCCATTGGGGTAGTGCCGCACCAAGGAAGCTCAGGGTAGAGTCAGGCATGGCGGTTCAGTGAGCAGCGGCATAGCTGCTTGAAGCGGCAGCGACATAGCTGCTTTGGGTTGTCCTTTGGACAGGAGGCTGAAGCCTCAGTAGTCGGCCATAGCCTCGGCCTGCAACAACGAGGAAGGAGAAGGGTGGCCATGGCTATGGTGGACCTCATGTTGTACCTGCAGTAGAAGTGGGATTCGGACATTGATTCTGGTTCAGCCATCCAACATTATTATTGTTATTTCTTGTTTGAATAAGAGGGGAAGAGACAAGGAGGAGGAGATTGGTTGGCGAAGAAGAAGAGCCTTGTCAATGGTCTATGCTGGAGTACATCATCTTCTTCTTCTTTCTTACTTCTTCTTCTTCTTCTTTCTTACTTCTTCTTCTTTTTCTTTCCCTCTCTCTCCCCTCAAGTTCATTCATTTCTTTTTGCAATTGGACGGCATTGTACTTTCTGATGAATGTATACTTCGAAATTGGCCAGGATCGTAACATTGGTATCGGAGCGGATTCTACTTGCTGGCGAGAGTTGACTTTGCCGCCATACCCTAACCTAAGTGGTAAGGGCTAACCACTTAGGGTTAGGGCTGGAAGTTAGGGTTAAGTGGGGCAGCGTGGTGAAGGGAAGCTGCTCCCACCTGGCAGGGCTGTGTAGGGTCGACATCAGACCCGGCCAGGTAGCTTGAGTGCATGTTTGTGGTGGCGAGACACAAGGTGGGACTTCATGATGCAATTTGAGAGAGGCGACAGTGAAGGGCACCTACAACTGGAATCTGGACTTCAAGGAAGACGAGGAGTGACTTTAGGGCTCCCCTCATGTTAGGCGAGCTTGAGGGTGGCAGCCATGTCTGCACCTACGGACTGCAAGTTGCTGCGTCGATCTTCAACATCAACGGGGGATCCGGATTTGTACTTTGGGGTAGATGTTGACACTCCTAGATGATAGGACACTAGCGTAGAGGATGCTAATTGGGTCAGGAGGACTATGTGAGGGGGGGGTGAGTTCTTTCATCTCAAGAGCCTGGCCACTCAGGTAAGTGTCGTGCCGCCAGGGTGCTTATGTGTGTGTGCATGGAATTGACTGCCTGTTGGGGTACTCTGGGTTCTTCTTCCATCCTCCATAGTCTTGATTGTGTGTGAGGTGTGTGGACTACTTACTCACCTGATGAGTGAATGGATGGAGTATCTTGTG